TGATGGTGACTTGTTTATATTCTCTCACGAAACATACAAAGAGACTAAAATGGGTAGTATTACAGAAACAAATATGCAGCTTTTATTAGAAAAAAATGATTTCAATTCCACTCTGTCGTCAATGGCTACGATGAGTTCCGAAGGAGACGATCCTTTTTCGTAATATTTCGTATTATTCCCAAGAGTTATTTTAATTTCTTAGCGCAAAGATTAATTGACGAATGCGAAAATAAAAAAAAATACAATTTAGACATCATTATAAAACATCGGTACTGGGATGACTTTTGTTTCATTACAGTGTTTGATTATTTTATGTCGGACCATTAAAGTTTTGAAAACATGACTGGTTTTATGCAGTCTAAAGGCACTTTGTATAAGACTTCTTTCTTTCGGATCATTTTGATAAATATGCATGAAAAAAAAAAGAAAGATGATTTATCGTCGCTGCAAAAAGGTATTTCCGATGGCATTACTTCCGCACCATATAGAGGTAGTAGAAACGCCATGACCTTTTATTAGATTTAGGAGGTGATAATTTTGCAGAAAGTAGTTTCCAACCATGATGAAGATTATGATGAATTATGTTCTATTATGAATTAACGTTCGATAAGTGTTCTGGATAGGAACTTCTTGTTAGGATAATGACCACTCTCATGGCCTGTATCTATAGAGGTAGAACTTCGTTACATTCAATGGCAAGGTCCTCTAATATCATATTTAATCGCGCATATTCTATAAAATATGGGATTCAAATAAATGCAAGAGATATTGACGACCACACTGCTCTTTCTTATACTCTTTTTATGAGTAATGAAGTTTTGATGTTTTGATGAAAGCCAAAGCTGATCCATATATATCAAAGATGAATATGGGCAACCCATCTTACATAATATGATTATTGATACGCCTTATCATCTTTTTCATAAAACGAGTTTCCAATTCTCTTATGAATGTGGATTTAATTTTAAAATGATAGAAAAAAATTATTAAGATTGGATTAAACATTAATATCAAGAGTGAGAAAATGATGATTCGATCTTGCATCATCTCTTGTCTACAAAAAGTATCTTACCAAGTACCAAGATATGGGAAACAGAGGCCCTTTTAACACTGGGAGCTGATCCAAACATGAGAAATAAAGATGACCACGGTACTACCCCCACTATGTTCGCTGCCTGTCTTGGCATTTCATTCCTACACATTTTAACTCGATATGGTGGAAATGCTTCTTCGTCCAATTGTCAAAGTGAAACTGTTGCTCACATGATTCTCTTGAAAAGTACCGAAGACGAAACATTGTCAGTTCTGACTTACTTGCAGGAAATAAACGTTTCTCTTAAGGTTCCAGATAATTTGGGGGAAAATGCCTTTGGGTATTGCACTTGAAAGGCGATTCAAAAGCGTTATAAAAATTTCTATTTCAAGAGAAAGACATTCTCCATTTACATTAAAACCTTCTAGTAAATGCATTTGCATATAATCAGTGAATGTGATCCTGACTCAATTCTTGATATAATAAAGGAACTGCATATCACGGACGATTTGTGGAAAGTTTAAACGGAAGATGGAAAAACGCTTTCATAGTAATGTCGAAAAAATGTCCTTCGGAAAAAACTGTACTCTTTAGTATTATCAAACAATTTTCGTTTGGAGGAATTTGACATAGAAAAAAGAATTGTTTGCTACTGTTTAGTGTCTGCGAGGAGGTTGAACTTATTGAAAGAATAAAAAATATACTAAAAATATGTAAGCCCCAAAATACCATCCTTTTTAAATGATGAAAACGATATAAGGACAACATTCAGATATAAAAAATTCATCCTTTTGAAATTCATGATCAGTATTGCCACCCAAGTTTCAACGAGGTCCTTAAAAGATTTAATACCTGATATGATTCATTGGGATATATATACAAGGGGAATTATTGATAGAAATTTTAGAGATGCTATCATGTCAAAAACTTCGATCGCGGACGATTTTGTTGAAGCGGTAAAAAAGCCGAGGGGAGAAATTGTATTGTCATTTTTGATAAGTAAGGAATGTAATTTTTGTTTCAGAAGGAGAAAGCCTGAGTTACATTTTCGGACTTCTTGGTTCAGAATGCACTGATTCAGTGCTAGAAACAGTGTTCAAAATTCTTATAAACAATTATACCCTTTTAACAATAACAGATAAGGATGGATTAAATTGCTTACAAGCAACATTTATGTATGACGGCAGATGGAAAAAGCGTGATAACCTTTTTTGCTCAACGAGAGAATAAATATTAATCATCGTTCAAAATCCAGAGATACTGCTATTCATTATTACTTTTGCTAATTTTGATGCTTGAAACGCTCAGGGCGAAACGGTTTTACTCGTGGTACACATGTATGTACATGTAGTTTTTTTTTTTTTTTTTTTTTTTTTTTTTTTTTTATTGTCTATACGTGCACTTATGTCAGGCTTACTATAAATAAGATTCTCTTCTATCAAATGCATTAAACCGTTTCATAAGTTAATATATCATTCAAAAAGATTCGTAAGTTAATGAATATTTTGACTTTTTTATTTGTCTATGTTGTTTCTTATTTGTTACATATCATATTTAGACTTATAAAAAAGCAGAATGTCACCCGTCTTTCTAATATGAAATATAGATATGATGCTTTATTTTTATGGACAATTCCATTATTTGCATTCAAATGGATGAAAATGCATAAAGAGTATATTTACTCTTATGTAAAAGTAAATTTGTATCGTTGAATTTGATGAAAATTTTGCATTATGTTAACAAATACTCATGTGCAAATCGTGCCCCCTACATGCTTCAAAATACACACATATGCCAACTTTTAGTAAACGTAGCATACGGACTTTGTGTGTAAATGGGCGCACGTGAAGAGGACTTTCAAAGAGTATATAATCTATCTCAGTTCAGACAAGGCCTTCAAAAGAAATACGAATAACAACTTTCAAGACTTAATTTTTTTTCCTCTAATTTTTAATTTAATTATTATTGTTTTTTCCCTAGATTGATTTTTTCTATGTTGTATATAAAATGCAAAACATAATTAATAAATGTAATTTTCTACCCGTTAAAGTCTTTTTGATGACTGATATCGTTTGGTTCAAATCATAGACTGATTTGTGCAAAGTAGCACTATTATTGAGCCAAACTTTCAATTTGTTGAAGTCTCCACTCTGAATCCTTGCATTTTTTCCGACTTTTTTTTTTTATATCTGTGTTTTGTTTCCTCATTGCGTCGATGTCCTGTCTTAAACGTCTTATTTCCTTTTCCAGTTCCAGCCTAATTAATATCTCCTGATTTATTCGAAGTTGAAGGTCAACCTTTGATGATTTTGATTCATTTTGTACAAATACTGTAAACCATCTATTATTCGCTTCATCTTTTATTCGCGATTTATCAGTTCAAAATCAATTCGCTACGATTAATTTTCGAGATTGAGGAAAAATTCTCTAAAAATACAAAGCTAAATAAATAACGATTAATATTCATGATTATTTCAAATACTATAGATATAAATATATATTATCAAGCTAAAAATTTAATAGTAATAAAATATATAATAATAGTAATAAAATATATATTATCAAGCTAAAAATTTCATAGTAATACTGCTTCTTTATACCATGTGCGGTAAATATCAAAGGATCAAAAGATTTGAAGGTCCCCAAATTAAACAAGGTGTACAGGGTATACACAGAGACTAGTAAGTGAATGTCAATCAAGTTCTAGCACCCAATGATGTACCTTAATGCACTTGATTGACAGGGGTACACAGACCAGGTATTTTTGACGGTGGTGCTTAAAATCTCTTCCTTTAACATGCTGAAGTTTACTCGTCCAACGGATCTAAAGAGATTAAGCGTTATATAGTCCGTATACAGTTTTATGACAGCCAGATGCTTAGATAACCATGCTTTAATTAATATTGAGTAAATCATATAATAGCCACTGAACTTCTCCTAGAATTATCAAATTTCTGCGGGCAGCTGTGGCATGTCATTTAACTTTATGCCTCAGTTCAATAGTCAAGATTGATAGCCAAAGAGACTTTCTTTGATGTATGTATAATACCGCTTGGACCCTGTTATATTCCAGCTTTATAAAGATTTTGCCACCTTTGAGTTATGAGATGTTTCAGGATCTTTTAAACTATCAAAAGCCATTATTTTACATTCAAAAGATACTACGTGTAGCATTTAAAGTTTATCAAACCACACGCTTTTAACTTTTCAAACAAATATGAAATGGTGCTTTTGATGTAAAGATGTGTTATCATATTCATTAAAGGTCATGTTTTAAAGGTTAGCGTGATATATAGATGGGATAGTAATGGTAGTATAAGTGGGTGTAATTTGAGAAGGGGAACATTTAAAAACACATTTAATTACAGTTTACAGTATTATTTTTATTTAGAGCACATATAAAAAGAACATCTTTTATAAGTAAATAATAAACATTACTCATACTACAGAAGCTATGATAATTGAATCAACAGATATTTGTTAACAAACATTTGATAGGTTTTAGACCCAAATAATTTACAGTAATGGAATTTAGATGAAGATACTGCACACTGTTCATTTCAAAATACAAAATATCGACAAATGAATGTCAATATTAAAAAGTGATATTACTTATTGCAACCAACTGTGTTTAGAAGCCCCAGAATTTTTATAAAGACTGTCCAAAATAAAGTGTACCATGCAAGTCTGACTCTAGGTCAATCAGTCTTCTTTTTTTTCTCATGATACTAAAGCATCCATCTGACTCTGCTGTTATAATGGACAATTCTGAGGGAAAAGCAGAGCGGGATTTCGATGCGTTTCGCTTTCTCTTTGCATTAATTTCTTTTCTGCTGACAATACTCTAACAAGTAATTATTTCAAAAATACCCGGAAACCTTCTCCTTAATCTTTTTCATTAATTGTTAATTATCAATGACGTGTATATAGCAAGTAGATAAACATTCATGTCTTGACATATGTTAAATATTATAGGTTGTATGATAAAGTTAATAAAATGAATAATACGAAGCTCCTGATACATTCTTGCAGTCCACAAGAGTTATTTGGAAGACGCAATTACAAAAACCATCCTTCTCAAATTTTGAAACCACAGAAAATGGAGTAAGGCGCTTTTGATTTGTTGTCTCCATTACTAGGGTAGCTTATCCATACCTTATCCCCCATAGCCAACCTGATAACAGACATTTTACTGCAAGGTTGTTGTCCAAGACTTCTCTTTGAATCGCAATGATTTAGTGATTTTGGAAAGTTATTTACTGTTAAACTCGTGGTAGTGACTGTATAGTAGCTAGGTAATATATGCCATCCGAAGAAGTAGAGCCCATCTTTAGGTACTGTGAACTTGCCCGTAGTACTATCATAGGCATTACCAACATTAAGGTTGACGCGATCAAAACGTATCACAGAATCTCTACTGCCTTTGAATTCCATACCAGGTGCGGATAAAATTTGTGCCTCGAAAGCTATTTGGTTTGAATTGTCTGTAAGAATAAAATTTTGACTGTTATATAAAATTATTTTAAAGTAGCTTACCTACCTTTTTAACCAAATATTCATATTATTCACAATATATAATTTCCAATATTTTTTTTTCAAATCCTATGTAAATTCTTCCTATACAATTTTTAGTTGATTCATGTAATTGCTGATAACATACGATACACTGAAAAAGCAGTTTAATTTTTCAACATACCGCTGGAAACTTTTTCAGTTCATCATTTAATTGGAAAAAATCAAATTTTATTCATAAATACAACGGTAGTTAATCATCTTAATTAAAAAATTTATTTCTTATTTGATTTACACTTGTATTTTGTCCTTAAATATGCTTAGAAAAATAGAATTCTTACCCGTTTGATTTGCCATTAAACTTGCAAATCTTGCATCCAGTAATTCGTTTACTGAGTTTATTGATGCAATGTTTTCGCTCACACTTAATTTAAGGTCAGCAATCTCTTTAGCTCCGATCTTTATAGTATCAGCTATTTCCTTTCTTATGTCCTCGTTGTCTTTCTTTAGTACTACCACTTCCTCTTGTACACTTCTTAATTTCTTCTCTAGTTCTATTCTTATTAATGTCTCTTGATTCAGAAGAAGTTGTTGGATAGAGGGTTTGTCCAATGGTGGAGAATCCTCTGTTACAGTTGTGTTATTGGTATTCTTTCCATTATTGCATGAAACAAAGACCACCAATGGCATTAGAACAAGTGCTCTCACAGGAGACATGTTCGAAACGACTCTGTATCAAGATTGAGATTATGTCGGCCGTTGCTTCTCTTTATAAAAAATGCTCTGCATAAATTAACCTATTTTTTGCGAAAGTGACCCTTTTAGAAATTCATGAAAGTGAAACCCAAACGTTAAACACTGTTTCGTTTTCGCCTCTGATTCCAAGTATACATTAAATATGTGAGAGATGTAGAAAAAATAAAGTTGCCTGACAAATTTGATTTTTCTTTGTTCTTATTTTCTTTCTGTTCTATTTTTTTCCGGATGCATTTTTAAAAAAAAAATACTAATACATAATTAAGTTAGTTAACTTTTTTGTTGTATTTTTAATCTAAGTATTCTTTGATTCGTTTCTATTGTATTATGAATCGAAAATGTAGTCAATCTTAAGTTAAAAATTAATATGCAAAATTGTAACATTGTTTCTGAAGACATATTTGGTCACATTAATATGTTAAGGACAATTTTTTTTTCGGTTATATATTTTAATTGTTCATTAGGATTCACTGTGTCGAAAAATCGTTTTAATTATAATCTCTTGTTTCTTTGAAACATTGTAAGCATACCTATTCTGATTTTGGTTTTGGTGAAGAATTCATTAAATACTGAAAGATGCATAGTTGAATTTGAAAATATAAGCATTATAGTTCATTATTTCAACTTTAACCATACGATAAATCTTTAACATCATGTACATATGACAAAGGGATGAATGATTAGAAATCAGATGCACCTTAAATAAACTGAGATTGAACATTAACATGTTGCTTCCTCATAAATTCATCTGACAGTCGTATTTTAGTAGAAGTTGAGGTCATGGAGAAAATTATTTTGAAGAAAGAATCAGGTTTTCTCGAAAAATAATATCAGACCAAGTCAAGAATTTTTGTGACATTCTTGAAAATTCCCCGAAAAAGGTCATTTTCACCGAATACACTATTTACGTTTTTTATGCTTGAGTAACAGGCCCAGTCTAACCTATCCATTTGTACAGGAAACTCAGTCTAGCCTACAAAATGTGCTCTGGCAGATTTTGAACGAATAGCCACGGGAAAAAAAAAACACCAAACAGAACCAAAAATGGGCTCCCTCACCCGGCATTGCAAAATAAAAAGCAATCTTCCTAAAGCTTGTCAATAATGATACAAAGTTTAAATTTCTTTCTTGTCTAAAATTTTCAGTATGGAATTTATTAAGTGTATCACCCTGAATGCAAGGGGATTGAATGCCCATTAAAAAAGGGAAAAAACATTATAACACTAGTTTAATGATAATAGTAAGATATCTTTTCTTAATAAGAATTGCACTTATTAAAAAAGATAATTTAAATATGATTCCGGATGGTATGGTAAATCGTAACACTCTAATACTGAATTCACATATAAAAAAAGGAAGTATGTATTCTTTTTCATAACAAGCTTAACTTTGACATAATTAATATACATGTGCAAATTTTGTGTAATATTAAATACTTTAATAAAAATCTTCAAGTTCTTTAATGTACACGTATATGCACCAAATGATAAAGTAGAATAATTTTCTTTTAAAAAATCATACAATGATTTTTTTTTTAGGAATGAATAAAAAACAATATTGTGCTTGCAGAGGATTTAAAAAACAATTTTTAAAAATATAAATAGGACAGAAATCAGTCAAGGTCAACATGTAGCGAGAAAAGATCAAAACAGAAGACTTTTCTGAGAAACTTAATTGACATGCGGAGGACAAAACATAAATAAAAAGAATGTTGATGTTGTGGAAATGCTGCACCTATACCTAAACCTAGAATAATTTTTGTAGTTTTGGAAAATCATTTTGAGCTAGATATGTCAAATGTCATTCTCAGAAAGCCTGTAAATACGCAAGGCAATAGAGGTTCAGATCATCTTTCAGTAGAATAAACCATTTAATGAATAAAAATGAGGTCAAGGTAACTGGAAACTAAATACCCAGCTATATATATATACTTAAATATACCCCCGAATTAAAAAACACTGTAAATAGATTACCATAAAGAATTTGATACATGTAATAATAATAAAAAAAAAGATTGGGAAAGTTTAAATCAATTATTATAGACTTTTCAGTTCTTTATTTTATTAAAGCCCCCAAAAAACCTATAAATAGAAAACAAAAGAATACAGTTATAGCAAAAAAAAAAAAAAAAAAAAAAAAAAAGAAGATTAGAAAATATACTACATGTATATCCGTTGTACATGTATTTAAAGGATATAAGAAGAAAAAAAATAATCCTTAAATGGAATAAGACAAAATGTTTAGTATAACAACAGGTGCATTTTTTAGATCTAAATACTGGGAAAAGAAACACATCATACTTGTAAGATTAGAAAGAGCCATTTAATCTACCGATACTATGCACGGAATTAAAAATTGAAAATATACAATAAAATATTAAATAAAAACAAAGATAATATTGAATCGTTTTGTAATCTGCGATTTTTTTTAAACTTTGCTCAAATAAAGCAATGTCACTCACTATTGCAATAAAAGAGAATTTGTATACGGTTGCAACTAAATGATCAGTAGATATGTGTAATACACTTTGAACTATTTCCCAAAATTGCGCAAGCCATAAAACAGATGAAAAACAACAAATCACGCGGATAGGTTATATATACATATATATATATATATATATATATATATATATATATATATATATATATATATATATATATATATATATATATATATATATATATATATATATATATATATATATATATTAGAATATATTTTCGCTATAAAACTACAGATAGCTTTAGATAAATTAATTAACAAAGACCAATCCGCATAAATCAGGGGTAGATATATCGTTACAAAAAACAAGACTTTTACTCGATAAAGTTGAATTCTGTGAAACTTAGTCAAAAAAAGGAATAGTCATACACTTTCTTTCAAAAAAATAATTCGATTCTGTAGCACTTTATTTACAATATTCTAGAAAAAAATTAATCTTGAAGGATAAAATAGTATAAAATGACTGAATATTGTAGATTCCTAGATATGCACAAGGAATGAATTATTGCGTAATCTTGCGAGAAGCAACAATCGTGAAATTAAATTACTCGCTTTTATTTTTATGGTGCTGAAATCCACGTAAAATCTTAATCAATCTTGATCGCGAATTGTTATTCTCGCGATTTACGTCACGGTAGGCGTTGGCACGATAAAGAACCCTCACTGCCCAATGGCCCTGAGTGCCTAGTATAGGTCTGAATTTGAAATCCTTCACCGGCATACGGTTACGTCACTGTATGAGTGGACAATTTTCGAATGGGACGGTTAAACAACATACAATCAATCAATCTCGCGATTTGAGGTTAAAGGGTCATTTCGTGATAATAAGTACTCACTAAAAATAAGGAATCTACAGTATCTTTTAAACAAAGTCTGTATTTCGTATAAAAATAATGGATATCTAGAACCTTGAAAATTAATAAAGGTTCAAGGATGACCAATCCCCGCATTGAAAATAATGTCTAGAAAACTACATTATTTACCAGAAGTAAAAGGCTTTACCAATAGTTTTATAATTAAAGTATTAAAAACCCATTATCATCAATTAACATATTTCCTGGTGAAGGTGACATGTGTATAATTAATGTAATTGATGTCATTTTGTTGAAAGTGAAACCAAAACGTTAACCCACCCCTGTTTCATTTTCTTTTCTTATTCCAAGTATACAACCCATTAACCTTTTTTTTGTAGAAGATAAAAAGTGCACTTTTAACATGTACTTTAGCAACTTATTCATTTTCTTGCAAACATTTCACAAACATTCCAACATTCTTGTAAACATTCCAAACATTTCTTTCCTGTTCTAATTTTTTAATATGTATCTCTAGTACAGGTTACAAAGACATAGTTAAATATTGTAAACGGATATATTTTTTAAAAGCTTTGAAATACCCAAACTACCAAACCTCACTTAATGTAGGTATTAAAACCTTTTTTGATACTAATTCTATTCTTAGTATTTATTCTTAATACGTTTTATACATTTGGTTGAGTATCGGCTTAACCATGTAAGTAGATGCTGCATCAACAATCACTATAGATAAGTCCTGTCCTTGAATGATTTTTTCTTAATATTAGCTTATTAGTCCCCTACCAGTGAAACCGGAGGGGACTATAGGTTTCCTCTTAGTCTTTCCGTCCGTCTGTCTGTCTAGCTGTCCGTCCGTCTGTCCCTCTGTCTGTCTATCAGTCTGTCCCACTTGGTTTTCCGCACTTTTTTTTCCCTAAACGCTTGCAGATATTGAGCTGATTTTTGGTACGTGAGTGTATCTTGATGAGTTACAGATCAAGTTTGCATTTCGTCCCGCTTCAATGATTTTTTACGGAATTATGACCTTTTCAATTTTTCAGGGTTTTACCGCATTTTTTTTTTCTAAAAGCTGGCAGATATTGAGCTGATATTTGGTATGTGACTTTACCTTGATGACTTATAGATCAAGTTTGCAATTTGTTCCGCTTCATTGATTTTTGACGGAATTATGGCATTTTCAATTTTTAACAGGAACCAGATTATACTTGCCGGTAGGGGACTAGTATTGCTAAATGCGATACTCTCAGAATGCTTGTTTTGTATAGCTTTGAATATATTTAAATATACATTTTATTCTACTTTTGAACCATGATTTCTTTATAGAATTAGGTTGAAAAATCAACTCTTTAGAAAGAGAATACAATATATTAATGCTTACATGACTTTTTGTGTAATATATTTAGCTGACAAAATAGGATTTAGATGAGTGATGCATACAATATCAGTTTAAAGTAATACGGCTACCGATTAAAATGTGATCCAAGGAGTGCCTGCTTAATCAAAGTTTATTCGCTGATTTTGAGTTCTTAAACAATAGGGATTCATATCTTTGATGTCTTACATATATGCATGATATTAGGTTTGTGATTTTCCAAAACTTCCAATACCATGCCAATGTCTAAAAGGTTAATGTCATTTTGTAAA